CTCTAAAATAGCACTCTCCATTTTAGAAATGTTGTTTTTTCAACCCCCTCCACCTTACTCACCCATCCAACATGTCAGTCACAAATATACAGTATGTTGATTGCTAGAATCCACAAAAAAACTATTGAATGTTAGCTTGCACAAATAAATAAATTGAAAGTTGACTTGCAAAAAGAATTTAAAACAGAATTAAATGCATAAGTAAAATTAGAATGTGAAAAAGTCATTAGATAGTATATTAATGACAGTCCTATTTTGCATCTCACCACCAGGTCATTACCCTTTACCTTAAATAAATGTCAAGTATTTACTCCACATTCTCCTATAAACCAAGTAGTCTGACTTTTTCTTTTTGTATACTGCAACTTTTGCCAATTCTGTAACCTATGAAAGATGGTGAACCACATTTCTGGAAAGGGAGAGAAAAGACTAACTAGTAGTATTGTTTTTAAATTTATAAGCATTAAATGTTAATTTTACATTCAGATAAGCATTTAAACAATAAAAACAAAGGACCCATGACAATTTCAGCACTGGGAAGGGCTAAATAGTGCTGATTGAAATTAACTGAGTGATGGCTTTTGGATGCTCCATAGTACTTAACAAAAAGTAGACAGCAAACAGATACTTCTGGCATCTCTGTGTTATTGGTCAGTGACACATCCATTTTGATGCTAACTCTCCTTGCGATGAGTAGGCTTGACATCCTAAGATGGGGATACAAGTCAGAGAAACATTTATTAGACCTATGGAGAGTACAGTACAACAGGAAAAAGAAAGGAATCTCTCACAATTAAATCAAATCTTAAAACTTACTTGAATTAGAGAGGAGTGTGGTGTTTTCATCTGAATGTAGATGACCAAACAAGTAATGCTGCACTCCATAGTCCAGACCTGCAGTGACAGTACAAAATATTTATTTATTTATCAATCAATCATAAGAACCTGCATGATAATATGTGGAAAATAGAAGAAGAAGAATATATATCAGTAACTTCAGATTAGCTGATTGATGAGTTTCCCAAAGTTGGTACTGTGAGGAAAAAGAAATAATGTACCTTTTGTGTTATTGTTTTGCAGCAAGTTGGGCAACAAAACTGGACTAGCCTATTTGCTGCAACAGCAGCTGTGTAAAGGGGAAGAAAGAGAGAGAGAGAAAAATGACACGGGCTCGGGTCAGACTCAGGCCGAGAATATTCTGATAAGCTGTCGGAAGGGCCGGGCCCGTGCAGGGCTCTATTCATACCCTCGTTTCAACTAAAGTTTCCCCCTCGGCTCAGCGGGCCCACAATACGCCCGGGCCCATATGCACCCCTGCATACAAGACGCTACGCCCCTGCTGACTTCTAGTGTTTGCTGTACAGAAGTATGAGAATCTGGGACAGAAGCGATTATAGAAACATATTAAAGCAGCACAACGGAAGCTTTATGAATATGTATTTTACTGCTGTGTTTTCTGCATTTCATTTGGATGTGTTGTAGAGACTCAAAATGCTCCTCGTTCTAGAGAGATCCGCTTTATTTGTCATGTTAATCTCCATATGGACATACTATCTCTGTGTTTTCTCATCCTGAATCCAGTGTTTGCAGTGAGGCATTTCCACCCCTGCAACAAGACATGCCAGCTCTGTAATTTTGTGTGTGTGTGTGTGTGTGTGTGTGTGTGTGTGTGTGTGTGCGTGTGTGCACTGATCTGAACTGCTATTTCCAGCTCATCTCTATTGTTTCTTTGACTTGTGAGTGAAATTAAAGCACTGTTGAGCATCTCTCAGTTTATAAAAAGAACATCTGTCTTCCACACCCTCCCACATTTAGAAACAAATGACGCTGCAAGGCCTTGTACACAGACCTGACATTTGCATATCTGCTAATGTTTTTTGTCATTGAAATTAAAATAGGAGGGAATCGAATATGAGCGCTTAGGTCAGATGATTGGATATCAGATAACTACATTCAAAAGTGACACAAATTGGATGTGAAAAATGTGCTATTTATATGCATGCAACAAGATTTGCAGTGGAATAATCAGGTTGACTGTGTAAATGTGGCCTATCAGACATCAGATGAGTGCATTCTCATGAGCTAAATTAAGAAATAAAAGTGTTCCCTAAACACTTTGTTCCTCAAAAGAAATTCCTGACTTATCCATTAAAGTAAAATTTTTATGTGTGCTGAGCAGATTTACAATTAACCCTGCGAAGTCTGATATATCAAATAATAGTCAGAAAATCAATTTGTATAAAAATCTAGTTTACTGAATATATATGAATGATATCTAAAAAAATCTAAAAGGAAAAACTATGTATATGTGTTTTATGTTGAGTATCATATACGATCCATAAGACGTCTATGGCTCATATAGTGAGAATATGGAGCAAAAATATGCAATTTGGTGCAGATGCTGATATTTATATGAGGGAAATTATGATGCTTGCAATGTAAATAATTGAGATTTTTATAACAGTATAGCCTATCAGACACAAACTAGTGCTTTGGATAGAAGTGCGTGCTATTAATAAATGCACATGTTCCTTTATAATTCCATAACAACATAATACTGATCTAGTAACATAACCAATTTCCTCAGCAGATTTTCACTGCATTTTAAGCATTAACTCTGTTTTCTCCAAACAGCACACACACAAACACACACACCAAACAACACACACACACACACCCCCTGGTGGTTTACCACAGGGCGTAGTCAGTGCTGTTTTGAAGTAATAACATCAAATAGACGGTTACATTGCCCCATTACACAGTGCCCTGCGTGTGTCTGTAAACTCCCTTCACTGGGATATTTGCATGTGGCTGATGCTTGTGTGACAAAGTATTGTTTGTCTCAGCATGCTTTGTATATGCGTCAAAGCATGCTCATGTTAAGAAGTCTATCAGTTTCATCCATGCAGATGTCACAACACCTTTTCTCGAAGCACCTCGCAGTGACTGTTGCATGCTGACGCACAGGATTGGAGCAATTCAATTAGCCCTGGTGCTATTTTAAAAGGGTCAGACACTAATACCTACAGCCACAGCTAATGGAAGCAGTGTGGCAACAATAGTCCGTTCTCAGTGTCTTCCTCTTCACTGCTGACAAGACTGCCGCCTGTCCTGGAAGTATAAAGCATCCAGTGCGAATTAAGGAAACCGTTCACTGAGCTTAAGTCCAACAATTAGCCCAGCAAAGCCCACATGATAGAGGCCCAACAGTTCTAGTCCGAATAAGAGCAGCTTCAGGGTCATTAAAACATCACCCTGGACTTCATGATCCTTCAGTAAGAGGCTCACGGACAAATCTGCACTTTGTAGCCTAAATGGAGTAATGGACATATGACATGAGATCTGTTTCACAGGTTTAAATTACACTCTCGTTCTCTCTTCACAAGCCAGATGAGATTTCATTGACTGGTAACAATGTATGAGCTTTCAGCGGATTACACATCACATTATCATAGCTACCATGTTGTTTTATTTAGTGTTTAAACATATTTTCAGTGAGCGTGTGATATATGTGCCATAAAATCTGATGAGGATCAGATCTAGCAAATCTGTGTCATTTCAAAAAATGTCATTTCTAGTTATTTGTATTAAATGGGAACTTGGTGTGGTGTGTTATTCAAGAGACAATGATTCTGCCACTGTGCAGATCCCACATTCATTTATTATGATTTTACAGTAACAATAACTATAGTATAATGGTGGAAACTATGCTTCTTTTCTTTCATGCCATCGTTTTTAAATGATTAATATAAGGTATTCATTCATAATACATTTTGCTTTCCCCTCTATTCTGAATATTTGGTTAGATGACTCTTGTCCCAAACCATGCTTGTGTTATTTATAGTAACAAACTAGGGCAGAACTCAGAAGTGCAAGAAATGTGCAAAACCAAACAAGAAAGACATTTTTACATTGAACTTCATTGTCAATGTATAGAGTTCAATTACAGTGCGCATCAGTGAGCAATATGGCATTTAAATGAAAATAATGCAAGTTTGGTGCAAATGTGGTTCAGAAATACCTGCAAAATGTGTTTTTTTAGGAGAAAAATAAAAAAATTGTGTAAAATGGCAGCAATCGTCTCATTCGATGATTATTAATGCTGTTAGGATGACTAATTTGGGTAACATGTTGTCTACACAGCAATCAACGCGACGCGATGAAACGAGAAAGATTTTGACGCGACGCTAAATGTAATGTGTTAGTCTCCGCCTACTCAATGACGCGCCCGCGCTGTCATCCAATCAGAACGCGAGAAGCTCTTTCCAGGCCCTTCCCCCTCGAGAAACGGTCGCGTATGAGCTGTATGTTCGCGGCGCGCTGCACAGTCCTGTGAGTCACCGTCCGCGCTGGAATACAGAGAGAGAGAGTGGCGGATAGCGAACGGGAAAGAACTGGAGCTGCGAGCATGGCGGTCGAAGAGGAAGGTCTTCGGGTTTTCCAGAGTGTCAAAATAAAAATCGGTAAGTCCTGGAGCGCGCGCGTTTCTGCGCGAGACCGCTGTCCATATTCTGACTGAAATCGCACGGTCGCGCTCACTGTCTATTGTGAGAATATGTGGACATTTTTATAAAAAATCACAAATGAATGCTTAATATGGTTATTTAGCTGTCAGTGCAGATATGTATAACGCATTTTTATCATATCATATGGTAAATAATCTCATGTGTTTGAATGACGTCTCGGCTCAGTTTGAATACAGTGAGCCTCAAATAGCTGCACATCCAGATGCGTGAAAACACTGATATCTGTGCGTTCAGATCGTTATATTCGTGTCTTAAACGTATTTTTACTCACATAGACACATTAGTGCACAGATGTGTGTGTCTCACTTCAGCTGTTGAGGTTTAGAAGCAGCAAAGCATTTTTAGCCCTGGACTCATAAACGTTACGGCTGTTTTTTTTTGTTCAGTGTGTTCTGCATCTTGAAATCATTTATACTGGCATTGCAACAAGTAGAACATGCTGATGAAATCGTTCTTTCCGACTGAAACAGAAATGCATGTGATTTTCTAACTGCACAGAGAGACAGACAGACATGTGTTCTGTGTTCTCAGTTTGACTGCTGGCTGGCATGTGGTTTGACTGATGTAAACACGATAAACACTGGGAAGATGCTCTCTGTACCATTTGTCTCTTTCAATTTCTTTTTGAGTGCGCGTGACATTTGAAATTGAACATTTGTGTTGTGTAGCCTCTCTCTCTCTCTCTCTGTGTGTGTGTGTGTGTGTGTGTGTGTGATGTTGTTCTTCTGTTCCTCAGGTGCATACAGGTCTTATGCAAGAGATGAATGTGTGTTTGCTGCTGTCATTGAGTTGTTATTTGACTCAGATTAAAGCAGAACACACACACACTCAGTCCCGCAGGTCTAATCTAATCTCTGTATGGCACAGTAAACGCACTCCGGCTGCGTCGCCTGGGCACGTGTTTGGCTCTGAGCGTCAGGCTCTTCATTTCCATATGTACCACAGTACAGCTGAACACTAGTATGAGGTCGAGTAACTGCTTTGCATTTAAATATCACTTACTTTGGGTAGTACACGGACTTGTACTCTGCACAGTGACAATAAAGTTGAATCTAATCTAATCTAAAATTTAAATGTATAATGCATCATAAAAGTATTTTAATGCATTAATTATGCCTTGTAACACACCTCATATTGATCTCATGAATAACCGTAACCACAGTTATAATCCTTATCTGTTCATAGTTACGCCTTTAGAAAGTATAATGCATTAAAACACATGACAAACAACCAATTTCAGATGTAACAAGGAATCTGCAAATATTATGATGCATTCTAACTTTGGTTACAATTCTTTATAAAAAGATATAATGCATTACAACATACATTATGAATACCTTTATAATGCTTTATAAAAAAGGCTTCAAGTAAAGTGTCACCCAGTTTTCACTCAGAAATTGCTTGTAAATTAGTATATCAGTAACACGTTGAACTAAATGTGAAATTTTGAAGTAGAAAAACTGAAATAGTATGTTATTTTACAACTTTTTTACAGTGTAAGAAACATGAGTTCTTGAACATAATGTGTTAGAATCACTGATCCTATACCAGGGTTATTATAGTTAACTAAAACTAAAAGCATAAAAAAACATTTTATGTACTTGAAATAAAACAAAACATTAACTGACATAAAGTAAAATATAAAAAACCTTAAACGTACTTTATTTCAGCTAGTTGCCAAAGCAACATTTTTCTTTTTAATTTAGTTTAACTTCATGTACTAAAATAACTACAACTAACACTGAAATAAAATTAATAAATAGACCTATAAAAAAAAGTAACAAATAAAAATGACAAAAACACACAACAAAATTACTAAAAACTAAAATTTCAGTAAAAATGGAAAATACAAAAATAAAAATATTTCAGAATTAAAAAACTGTTCAGTGTCTCAATGATATTAATTTTATTATTTTTTTTATTATTAAAGCAGTGGCTTTATCTCACATTCAGTGTTTTTGTATTTTTCCAAAAATATAATGCAAGTTTTTTTGTGATAACTGGTAATTTGTTACTAACGACCACTGTTATTAAAATGAGAAATTCAACAACATTTTTGCACTGTTTGAAGAAGATCCCGTTTTCGTTTATAAAATATAAACATAGTACTATGTTATTTTGGCAGGCAGTATTTGTTTATGTTTTTAAGTGTAGCAATTAAGTTATTCTCCACTTCTGATGAATAAAATGTTTGTTATTATTATTATTATTAACTCTTATAAGGAATTTACTGTGAAAATATCATAGTACCATGTTGGAATTAGATTGTACTTTGATGGTAAACTGTATCCCATTTTCATTTAATAAACTTTAATCATAGTACTTTAACCATATTACTCTTCTGATTATTATGGTAAATGTTCGTAAGGGGAGGGCTCATAAGTATATGTTTATGTTTTTAAGTCAGTAATGAATGTGCAATTAAGTTACGTGTTTGTTATTATTATTGTTATTATACTTATAATAACACTTGTGAGGCAGCAACAGTGATGGTATTACATGGTACTTTGATAGATATGAGTAAAACAAATCCATTTGTGCTTGATTTGTGATTGCAAGTGTTGTTTCCTAACATCTTCACGTCCCTGTGTGGCGGTTTGTTATTTTTAACCTGATTGCTTCACCAGCATTTGACAGAATTGCGCATGTTTTGGAGAAGTAGCCACAGTCCTGTCTTGGTTCGTTGCTCCACGTCACACATCTTCAAACAGCAGAGGAAACCAGTGTATTCTCTGAGTGAAATCTGGTCTGTGGTAGATGTTATCGGCCGTCACACCCTGCTTTACAGAAGGTCTCATGTCCAGTTGGTTGGGCAGATGTACAGTAATGTCTCGCTCTGCTAGTCAGCTGTTGCATTGTTAAGTTGTCTTTGACTGATGAATGCTTTATGCTTTTTTCAATGCTGTTGTAGTTATATTGGGTGGAGAATCTCATCAGATCTGTGAGAGTTTCATTTTAGTATGTTAAATATCTGGATGGTGGCTGGCAGTTGACAATGAGAGTTTTGTGATGGCCAATAATACCAATATCAATATGGCTAATGGACAATATAATGCTACAAAATTCTCAAAATGACAGAAAATTAGTCAGTTCAAAGATACAAGACTATGAACTTAACAGCTTTAATGAGAGCAAAAAATATAATCCATTTCACTTGACATCCATTTTAAAACAACGGAGAAACTATTGATTTAAAGATGTTGATTATATAGATACAATATATTTAAAAAAAAATTCTCTCTCTCTCTCTTTCTCTTTCTCTCTCACTCAGTAGCTATGTTTCCATCACCCTATTTTAATGCGCATTTTGAAATATCGCATCAGAAACAAGTGATGGAAACAGCAAATTTCTAATAAAAATCCCTTAATTTGCAAAAAAGTTTTTACGCTCGCTTGAGGTGGTTTTTGACTTGTGCGAAAAAGGGTTAATGCGAATAAAAGGAGATGGAAAAAACACACGGCGGGCTTGAGTGAGCGGAGGCCGGCGGCCTAGAGTGAGGAGCGGCGGCCGGGCTAGAGTAAGGAACGGCCGGCGGGCTTGAGAACGGCGCGGCCGGCGGGTTTACGGCAACCACATGTGACGACCCCGGGCTGGACTCCGCTTCATCCACGGTGAAAGCCGATCCGGTGATCCACAGCAAAGAGAAAGGAAAAATTGAAATCGCATCATATGACCCCTTTAAGTAAACGTTCAAAGCGGCAATTAATCATTCAAAGTCCACTTATGTTATTCGCCGTGCTTAATATGCGTTTTTTTCTTTCACATGTTATCTTAAGGGTTTTTCCCATTATTTTAATTTTAGTTTAGTATAACATTATAATACCATTCATATTTGTACTTTTTTATAATTTAAAGAAGAAAACAATCCGATGTATAGTTGACATTTGAGGATTAATACTATAGAAAAGCACTAAAACTTTTTCAGTTAAAGTGTTTTCAGCTTGTTTTTTTTCATATAAAAATACGGCATGCAGTTGCATCAAACAATGGTATAAACATAATTCAATGTAAATTGTGATAATCGTAATTAATAATCGCAATTACAATTTCAAGGGAATAATCGACGATTATGATTTTTGTCATAATCGTGCAGCCCTACATAACAGTGACTGTAAAATATGTACTTTAGGTATGGGACAGGCATATGTTGATTTTTGATATTTGGATTAGTGTTGGGCGATATGGTCAGTTTTCAAATCGTCATATCGCCAGTCCGTGAGATCGCCGATAGACGATATTATCGTGCATGGGTGGGTGGGGGCAAGAGAGAGACTCTGTACTTGTCAAACGCTATTTCATAACTATGTTTTAAACCGCGCGCGCGCGAGAGAGGGAGCCTATGGAAGCACCACGAATCTAAATAATATACTTTCAAACATACTGCTAAACTAACATGTTAGATACAAAAATATTTAATACAGATAGTTCATATATATTCGAATACAACAATCATACATCGCTATTAGATATGTTGATTTTTGATATTTGGATTAGTGTTGGGCGATATGGTCAGTTTTCAAATCGTCATATCGCCAGTCCGTGAGATCGCCGATAGACGATATTATCGTGCATGGGTGGGTGGGGGCAAGAGAGAGACTCTGTACTTGTCAAACGCTATTTCATAACTATGTTTTAAACCGCGCGCGCGCGAGAGAGGGAGCCTATGGAAGCACCACGAATCTAAATAATATACTTTCAAACATACTGATAAACTAACATGTTAGATACAAAAATATTTAATACAGATAGTTCATATATATTCGGATACAACAATCATACATCGCTATTAGGACCGCGCGTCCTGTGACAAGTTTGCTGCATCGGCGCACGGACGTTATCAGTATAAAAGGAAATATCTTATATCAGCAGACAATATGTGTCTGTGTTTGTGGTTGGAGACTCCTTCACCAGCTACAGGCTCCTTATTAGCGGGCAA